TAAGAAGAAAAGTATACCTCAAATGTCTAATATTACGAACTGACGCTGGGGTGAGCGGGCGGTTCACACGGGGGTACGTGGGGTCGGGGTTTCGTGGAGGCGGGGAAAAGGCGGGGCCGTAAAGAGCCGTGTACTGCATTGAGGTGGCGGAGGGCGGTGGTGTACGGCCTGGCCGAGCACCGACCACGGACGGGTACCTCGGTGTGGGGGCCACAGCTTGCCCTCACGAATATCCTCCTCCTATCGTCTAATGTTACGAATAACTTTTTTTTACTAATGCGAGCTCCGTAGTGTTGTGTTTAGGGATGTGTTTAAGAATTTTCCAGTAAGAAGAGTGACGTTGTCAAGAGCCCGTACAACTAAGCAGAGGCGGTGTCGTGGCGAAGGGCGAGACTTGGTGGTGGTGGGCGGGTGGAACTGACTGACCACAGACAACGAGGGCACCTAGACGAGTCCCAATTAGACAGAACCTAGTTGCATGTATGTATGTATGTATGTATGTATATGTGTACGTACGTGTATATGTACGTGTATATGTACGTGTGTACCGTTGTTCAGGTGGTACCACATTTTCCAGGCATGGAAGTAAAACAACCCCCTCCCTCCTTTTGCACCGTACAAGTCCCCGCGTCCCAAGTCCCCCCCAGTCCCCGCGGACAGGCTCTCGAGGGGGGAGCAGGAGGGGCGGGGAAGCTGCCCCCCTGGCGGAATCTGGGGCGGCTACGTGCAGCTGGAGAGGAACTACTCCCGCATCATGAACATATTTGGGCCTTAAAACTTGGCGTTGGCGTTGGCGTTAGCGTTGGCGTTGGCGTTGGCATGTTTACCACCTGCTCTCCGCACCTGCCCACCCTAATACCCCATTCCACATACATACATACATACAGGCAGGCGGCTGGCGCAGGCGGTGCGGGCACAGATCGACCGGCATCTACAGTCTTCTCAGGAAGCGGCGGTAGGGGGAGTCACCCGAAAGCAACTCTGGCTATTACTGGCCCCAACCGGATGCGAACAGGCCGTATGGGATATAATCGCCCTGTCGGCCCTGTCTGCCATGGAGGTTGGCAGATGCTGCCTGAGGGCAGCGGGCAGG